CGCTGGTCCATCGACAGAATCCTCTGTACAAGAACCTCTTCTTGTACAGGTGTAAGACGGCGATTTTTGGAGATAGCACCGCGTTGTGGAGGAATACCACGGGCGCGACGCGTAACCGTCTTTCTGGGCACATCGTATAGTTTCTCAACGCCTCGGAAGGATGTAATTTGGCCGGTCTTGTAGGCTTGAACGCCTAGAATAACTCTGCCTTCTTGAAAGATGGCTTCTTGTTGTTGTGGTGCTGCCATTGGGGTGGTTGTTGGACGACGCGTCGCGTGTTGAGTTGGGTGGGCCACTAGCTTATGCGGGCCACTAACTTGTGGATTACGTTAGTAGTATTACTTACCTAATAATCCTACTATTAAACCCGCCTTTTTAACTAATTTAGCTAACGCTAAAGGCTATAAACCGATATTTAGCACTATTAGTATACTACTACTACTTCTAGCTAGCTAATAGGCTATCTAGAAAACACCAGCCTAGGCCTAAATAGAAAATTATAAACTACTACTTTCCTAAACTAGCAGTTATACTCTAGGCTTATTTTATTTACCTAAAAATAAGGAACTAATAGTAATTAATACTTATAATACGCGCGATAACGGCTATAGCTTTAATAGCAACTTTAACTTAGCTAATAAGCGGGATAAGCTAAAAATAGATATATTTCTAGCTAAAAAATATTATACCTAAGAACTAAACACTTTCTGCTATATTAGCGGTACTATACGCCTACTTTTTTTCCTAAATATATTACCCTTTTAATATAGGCCTATATATATAGAGTTTAATAAGCTAAATAACTTAAAAACTAGCTAGAAGCCTCTACTACGTATTATTCTAGCTAATAACTATAGTTACTTATAGGCTCTAGATAATAAACTCTATAAAACGCGCTGTAACCTAGATATTACTATTAAAAAACGCGGTATATTAAACGCTAGCTTATTTAAGGCCTAGCGCTCTATTACTAAATATAAAAATAAGATCTCCTACTTAAAAAAGCTATTAGAGACCCTTAGGCGCGATAATTAAAAGTAGTAAAATAAAGTTATATACCTATATTACTACTATAATACTAAATATAACTTACTATAGGAATAAATAGCTCTATATAATAAACTTAATAGTAAATATAAGTCTAACGTACTCTATAAGCAAGCGGGCCACCTAAGTAAGCGGGCTACCCTATTACTAAAACGCGCTCTGTTAACTTTTAACTATTATACCTTAATAATATAACACGCAACTAGTCTAAAGCGAAGGCCTAATATACCTAGCTATTTTAGCAATTAATAAAAACCAAATTTAAAGCGAGTAATAAGCTATAATAGCCTTTAAAGTCCCTAAAAGCACGCTTTAATAACAACGCGCCGGAATAACCTCCTAACGCGATTATAAGCCTAATTTAAAGAAGCTTATAAAGCTAGAGGAATTAGTTATTATTTAATATATAATTAACTTAGATTTAAAAGGATTTATACTATAGTTAAGCGCTGTATAAAATATAGCTAATAAGTTACTAAATAAGCGCGGTGCCGGCTAGGTTAGCAAGAATTAGCTATATAACTTTATTAAGCGGACTAATAAGCTTTAAACACAGTTTAATTAAAAGTATAACCGCTAGAGAGCTCTATATAAAGATCTAAGAATTATTACGCTATAGTTTAAGCTTATATATAATATAAAGGCGAAGTATAGTATTATAGATAATAACTTCTATAACTTTAATAAAACTGGCTTCTAGATAGGTGTTATTTTAATAGGAGTAGTTATTATAGGCTTTAAAAGACAAAATTAACTAAAAGCTATATAACTAGGTAATTATAAGTAGGCTACTATAATTAAGGCTATTAACGCTTATAGGTAGGTAATCCCGCCGTTTATTATTTTTATAGGTAAGTACCACCTTTTTATATAGTATAAGGGCAGTAATATACTGCTAGACTAGGCTATAGCAGTAAGTAATAACGGCTGGATAATAAATAAGCTTAGTATTATATAGCTGTAATATTTTAATATATATATAAAGGACCGCACTATAAGTATATATCGCCTGCTTATTTTAAACGGCTATAAGAGCTATAACTTACTTAAATTTAAAAAGCTTTATAAGGAGAACAATATTATTATACTATATATACCGCTGCATACCTTATATCTATTATAGCCGCTTAATATAGGCTATTTTACGCTGTTAAAAAAAGCGTATAGTTGCTAAATTAAGGATCTAGTGCGCAACTATATTAACTATATTATAAAGCTTAAGTTCCTACTAGCTTTTAAAGCAGTATTTAACAACTTATTTATAAAAAGTAATATCTGCGCAAGCTTTTAAGGCGCTGGCCTTATACTACTTAATCTAGAGGCAGTACTTTTAAAGCTTAATATTATACTTTATATACTATTGCCTGCTGCTATAAAGGCTTAATAGGAAATTAAAAATACTAAGTAATACTTTTAAGCTAGTCTTTTAATTAGTATTAATTTATAATCGCATTTAAATATATTAAAATAGCTTTTCTACTATAATTTTTAAGTCGTATAATTTACTTATTAAAGGCGCCGAAGTACAGATATATAGGGCTATATTATTGCGTAATTAGGTTATAAGCCTTTAAAAGGCAAATAAGGCCGCTATAAAGCGTAGAGAGCGTAAAAAAAAGCGAATTTAGAGGCAAGAAGTCCTAATAAAGGTATAGGGCTCTGAAATAATTGCTTAAAAGGAAGCTAATAAATAAATTAAGGGCGAAATGCGTTAAAATAAAAGGCGCCCGGGTGGAAGTATACAGTAGTAAGCGCGCTGTAGGCGCTGCGGCGAGATAGAATATAACGCTTATACGTGTTAAAAAGATAAGGAAATTATTATAAATTAGACTATAAGTTATATTAAGTTAATATCTATTAGCGTTATAGAGCAATTTATATTTTACATCGCGTTTTAGTAATAAAGTGGCCCGCTTACTTAGGTAGCCCGCTTACTTATAGAGTATATTATAGAATTCTTCTATTTATAAAATCTTTCTATTCTAGCTTTTAACCTGCTTAGCCTATATAAAGAACTAGCTAAAAGGCAATATAGTAGCGAATTATAACCTAGAGTAAAAAATAGTAGTATAGTAATACTTAATATAGAATATAATATTTAATTAAGAATAAAACTAGGTTATTTATATAGCTTTTACGTCTATAGTATAAAAATTTAGTCGGTATAACTGCGCTCTAGGCCCTTTAGTAGTAGCAACTGCGTAAGCAGAATATAGGTTAGAGAGCAATATTAACTAGTAATAGGCCGGATAAAAATTAAGCGAACTCTAGTACTTTATAAGTAGTTAAGTTACTAGTATATAGAAGAAAAATAGCGTAACTTAACAGGCTAACTTAATAGGTAAGTAGAGGAAAAACTATATAATAAAAGAATTATAAAACCGGTAATATTTCTATTAACACCCTTAAATAGGTCTAGGAAAATACTAAGGCGGCTTTAAAACTTTAATAATTCTAAGTTATATAGGTTAT